ACACACACACACACACACACACACACACACACACCCCTCTCCCTCTTCTACAGAAGCAGGACTCAAGCCCCTTCATGCTCCTCTGTCCCCTGTAACCCCAAGGGCAAAACGGGCTGCAGATGTCACCTGTGCGCCCGGCTCATGACCAACCCAGTCTCCTTCCAGAACCAGCTGCACGAAGGCCCCCGCCAAGAAATGCAGTTAATCCTGTGCCTGCTGGACAGGTGAGGACCGAGGGCCCAAGTGGCCAGGCCCTTTGTTGGGATTCAGACCAGCCTGTGTCCCATAGCAGCCATCTGTGGCCCTCCCTGCGGCATATGGGGACACATTGGCCTCTAGGGGCAGGCCCTTGGGTCTTCTCATCCAGCCTTTCAGACAGCCCTGTTCATGTGGTCTGGCTCCATGGGACCAGGCTTTGCAGGTGGAGAAGGGGTGGTGGATGGGCAGGTGCCAAGTAGCTGGACCACAGTATTGAGAGGTTTGGACCAATGGGGCAGACGTCTGGCGTCCAGGGTTTGACATGAGGGAGGAACCAACATGGATTGTAGCTGAGACCAGCCCAGTCACGTCCATGGGCATGGAGATAAAGGAAAGGGTTAAGTGGAGACAGAGGGGCATGCTAGCTAGTCCACTCCCAGGGCTCAAATGAGTTAAGAATAGCAGGGAGGACCAGGGAGTCCCAGCCCCCATCACCTGTCCCAGGGGCAGTCCCAGCAGTGACTTCTGCCTGCAGTTAAGTGGGGGGAAGTGGTTCAGTGGCTGTGAAAGCAGAGGTCTCTGAGGAACTCCACGGAGGAGTGGATGGGGTGGGGCTGCTCGGGACAGAGGAGGGGAAGGCTTGAAGTATGGGGTATGGACTGGAGTGAGCAGAGATCACCATCCCAGGCCTATACCAAAGCTGTAACCTGGACCCAGAAAACCTGTTTGAGACCCTGTAGACACCACACCTCTATGAAGCCACTCTTCACTTCAGACTCCTCAGATTCCACCCCCAAAATGAGGGTCCATTCTCTTTGGTTTGGGCGGTTTGCATCCATCTCCTTGCTAATTACCCTCAGAGAAGCACAGTTCAAGTTCTGGTAGCTGAGGTACCTGAGGGCTGGAATTCTAGGCTGCTGATGACTGGTGAGGTGGGGGAGAATTCCCAAAATACAAGAAGTCAGACTGTGGTCTGGATTGGTAAATGCTTATTTATGTATAATAATAACAAAAGACTATAGCCTTCAATATAGATTACATCTATAAAACATCAAGAAAACAAAAATCCCCACCCCTTGGCCAACAGGCAACATCATGATAGAGGAAGAAAAGACTGACCTTGTCAACGATTTCATCTTGCTTAGTACCAACTGTCAAGAAAAGAGAAGATGTATCGCATTGGGGAAATCTGTCGGAGACCACTACGGAGTGCTGACAAGCAATGATGTCAACTTGAAGACTAACATGTACCTAAACCAAGCCATGGCCTTTTAAATTACTTGTTGTGCATCTGAGAACTGGACAGTGACTGTGGGTGACAGAGATGCCCTCCAGTCATGTTGAAGAACAGTGCTGAATATCCCATCATGGCCAAAAGAGAAAGTGTGACCAGGTTGTTCTTAGAAGCAAAGATCATGATGCTTCATCTCACATACTTGGGCCATATTGTTGGGGGGGGGGCAAGACTTCGGGGAAGATACCATGCTTGGAACGAGAGGATCAGCCTAGAAGACCCTCAACAAGATGGAATGACAGGTGACTGTAACGATGGGCTCAAGTATATGGGAGATCCGTTGCTCATTGGGTTGTTAAGAGTCGCAGTCAACTCAATGGCACATAAAACAATTAATAAAATAAAAGTTATCCAACCTATTCAAATAAAAATAGACTGTTACTGAGGTGGGTGGGGTCCCCCGCCAGCGCAGGGGTTAGCACCATTAGGGCAAGGGTGGGGCTCCGCCACAGCCTGTGATGAGGCGCTGAGGTCTGTGCATCAGTCTGTGTCCCAGCCCACTCGCGGGCAGGGGCGCGGGTCAGCGGCGGGCAACCCTCTGGTGGCCGCGGGACGAGGCACCGCCTGGTGGGGGGCATGAGCGGCAGCACTGGGCGCGGACCGTGGGCAGCTGGCAGCGACCGAGCAGACGCAGCGTCTCGCAGAAACTGAAGGACAGCCGGTCGCGATCACAGCCTGAGGGTGGGTGTGGAGAGATGGTGGGTCAAGATGGGGGACTGGGACTTTACTAGGCTTTTATCTGCCCATCCTGCCCTGCCATCCAGCAACACTAGGGGACCGGGTAGGCCTTCCCAGGTACAGCCCTCATGGTGTCCAGTTCACGCAGTGGTAACCCTGCCTCCACCTTGGACTTGACCTGCACCCACCAGGACAGGGACACTGGCATTCGCTGCTCAGGCTCACAGGAAACACCCTGAGCCCACACACTTCTGGTGCCAATGAGACTACCCCCTCTCCATCCTTGCTCAGCTCAGGAGCTTTCCCTCACCTGTGTCCCTGCCACCTCTCCTGTCACCTCCTCCTGCACAGTGCATCTGTCTTGCCAGACCTCTGACCACCTTCGGCCACATGGGCCTTACAGCCTCAGCTTCCAGATCACAGACTAGGGCAGGCCAGGCCAGCCCCTCTCCCCTTACTCCTCACTGGGCCTGAGGGAGAGGCTGCCGGCTGCGCCTTCTGGACTCAGCCTTGGCCCAGCACCCTGGCCTACAGTGATAGGAGCTATTTTGGGATGTGGCTTGGTTCCAGCCTTCTGACCTTGCTCCCACTGCTGCTGACAGCCCCCAGCTGCTACACTCTGCTCCTTGCAACCCAGGCATTTCCAGGACAGCAGGGCAGTGGCAGTCCAGGACCCAAGACATCCCTAGAGGCTGACAACAGGGCACGAGGCAACAGGTCTCATGTCACTGTTTTGCTCTGAGGACACCACTCACCACCCCATCACCCATATACCATCCTCCATATCAGCATGGCCTGAGTCCCAGCCCTGCTGTATGACCTCAGGCCGGCTTCCTGGCTTCTCGTGCCTCAGTTCCTTCCTCTGTAAATAACCTCCAGCCTCCAGGAGTGAACGGATGTGGCCAGGCTGCCAGCTGCCCCACTGTGTGATAACACATTCTGGAGTTTCCAGGCTTTTAAAAAATGATCCAATACAGTCATCACAACATCCTGGAAGTTCTGGGGTCACAGGGCCATTTCCCAGCTGTCCTTCCACCCTTTGCAGGTGGTAAAAATTACTCACATGTGATGGTCATCTAATCACCCCACACCATAGTCCCCACCCTCCAGCCCACCTCCTGAGGGGAGGGAACTGGAGGCGAGAAAGTGGCGTGCCAGGAGCCAATGGTCAGTAGAGATGACCATGTTGGACAATGGGGACTGGACCCTAGAGGTCTGCACACCAACCAGCCTGAGGGCCACCAACTGTCCCACAGCAGAGCAGGGAGGCATGGGACGACCACATTCAGAACACAGGGCTGAACCTCCACATTCCCTCAGCTGTACCCTCAGGACCAGACCGGCTGTGACCGCAATGTCCCTGACCTCAGTGTGAGGGACAGTGGGAACCAGCTGGGAGTGAAGAAACCAGCTTTTCCTGAGGCCTCTCTTAAGCACACTTGTGGCACTGGGCCCACCTAAGACTAAGACACCCCTCATGCCTTCCACCCTCCCACCCCCACCCCTGATGATATGGTGTCAGATCCCTTATGCAGAAGGAAGTGGAGGCTCAGAAAAGTGGAGGCTGTGGCCACACAGCTGGCGTGGGCAGCCCAGGTGTGAGTTCAGGGTTCTGCTGGGGTGGCAGAGGTTAAGGAGAGGGGGAAGAGGGAGGGAGAGAGAGTGAGTGTGTGAGTGTGTCTGTGCATGCATGTGCACCTCTGCCTGAAGCTCTTCCACCAGGAGGACCCAGCTGGCCAGGAAGCTATTGGAAGCTGCAGGACCCCCAGAGGGAGGCCCCTTCCTGTGACCTCATTGCTCATTCTGGGAAGCCCCAGGTGTTAAAAGAATGGACATATCAGAGCTAGGGAAGGGGGCTTCCATCTCCATCTTCACAAAGCCTTGGCCTCCCTACGAGAGGAAACTGAAGCCCACAGAGAAAAGAATTTGTACCCAAGGTCACACAGCAACCTAGAGGCCAAGGAGAGTCATTTCCCCAACTCCCAATGCTCTTTGCAGCCCAGGAAAGCTGCCCCAGGTCGCCAGAGGCCTAGAACTCTGCGTGACCTCACTCCAAGCACAGCCCCAATCAATCTGGGCTCCTGGTTGTCTGTGGCTCTTGGCCCCTGAGCCCAGACCATAGATGGACCTAGGCAATGCCAAAGGGGTGCTGATTTGAGGGCCCCTCACTTCCCCTCCCCCATTCCATGAGAGAGCAGAGGTGGGAGCACTCACGTGGGGTCTCAGCCGGCTCACAGTCCTGGGTGCCACATGGCCGGGAACTCTCCGGCCAGGGCTCGTGGTCACACTGGTCATTGTCCTCCTCGGGCAGTCCTGTCTGGGTATTGACACACTTGACCAGGCGCCGCTGGATGCCACCACCGCACAGGGCTGAGCACTGCAGGGCAGGAGGGGTCAGGACTCACGTCAGATGCACCTGTACTCCTACAGGACAAGCCCCAACCCACCCTTGTTCCCGGGGCCACTTGAGGATTGAACTGACAAGATGTGCACCTGCAAGTGCTGGGACTTAGAAGGCTATTCCTGGTGGGGACATGATGGCTCTGAGAGCAGAGAGGGCTCTAGGCCACAAGGGCTGCCAGCCCCTCGAAGACGGAGCCTGAAAAAGGCTTAATGCATGGGCGGTGATGGGGTGAGACCCTCCCAGCCGGATGAGGGCAAGTGTGTCCTGCTCAGGGACAGACATCTTCATCAAGCTTTATTCTCAGTTTAAGTCCTAAAATTAGGTTCCTATATGCAAGCATCTGTCATCTGTGTGCCAGGCCCAATGCCAAGAGCTTCACTGTGTTACTTCATAAATTCCTGACCAAATGTCCCCATTTCAGATGAGAAAACAAAGGTCTGGCCCACAGTCATTTAGCCAAATAATGACTCCAGAACCCTGCTCAGGACACAAACCCCTGGCTCTCCTGACCCCTCGATGCAGTTACTGTAACAATGGGCGTAAGCATATTGGAGATCATGAGGTTGGTGCAGGAGAGGGCCACTAGGAGTCATAGTCGGCTTGGCATCACCTAAACGGTTGGATCCTAACAGTCAGGGAGTGGCTGTGGAGGACATAGGCCAGACAGGAAGGTGTCCTGCCCCACCCCACAATCACGATGACCAGATGCCATGCTAGTGTCTCTTCCACTCCCTCCAACACACTGGAACACCTGGGGTTTATCATGTTTGCCTCGGGCCTTTGCACTGGCTATTCCCTTATCCTTGTACTTCCCAACACTGCCTTCTCTTTCAGAAGCTTCCTCATCAGGCCTTCCCTCCCCCTGAGGTACATGTCACAGTGGGTGGGGACCTCATCTGATCACCACTGATCTGCAGCCTGGTGCAGATTTCACAAATCATTGTTCAGTAAGCAAACAACCTCCCTCCAGGTGCCCACTGAGCACCTGCCCTTCCCCCCAGCTCACCTGGCCCCAGGGTCCCACCACCCACTGCGTGCAGGGGTGGGCGTTGCAGGAACGAGTGGTGTTAGGTCTTAGGGCCTCCTCACAGAGCCCCAGCTCCGGGCAAGTCACCAGCCGTTGCTGCTCACCACCGCCACAGGCCTCAGAGCACTGGGAGGATAGGGAAGTGGTCAGGGGGCAGTCAGAGTCCGCAGACACCCCCACCCTGAGCTGGACTTGCAGGCCTCACCTCCCTCCAGGAAGAGGTGTACCAGCTGAGGCAGGGCTGGGCCCCACAGGGCTGGCGGGCTGGTGGCTTGGTGGGCCCGGGCTGGCAATGGAAGGGCCGCAATGGCCGGAGGTCCCTCGTGTCCACACACTGCACTTCGCGAACTGAGACACCGCCACCACAGTTGCGGGAACACTGGCACCAAGGGACAGGTATGTGACCACATCCTGTGTGTACACACACATCCCCCAAGGAGGAATCTGACAGGACCACCCCCCCTAAAACACACTGCTATTGAATAAACTCTAACACCTGGAAACTCCATGTGTAACAGAGTAGAACTGTTCCACAGCGTCCTCTTAGCTAAAATATTTATAGAAGCAGATTGCCAGGCCTTTCTTCCTTGGAGCCCTGGTGGGTTCAATAACATTTCTGTTCACAGTAGAACCTGGGGCAAAGCTAGACATCAAGAAAAGATTGCCCACACAGCAGAGCCAGGACTGTGACAGGATGAGACAGATGGAGGGAAGGAGAGGACAAGGCAAGCCAGTGAGATGGAAAGGGTGAAGTCTAGAGAAGAGGACACAGCCAGCAGCAGGGGCTGGGAACAGGTCAAACCAAGAAGCTAGCATTCAAAGTCTCAGAGGAGATTATCTGTTAAATACAATCAAGTACAAAAACACGCAGTGTGGCGCCTCCAACGCCCTAAGGTTCCATCCCACGTGGCCACCTACCCTGGACCCATCCCGTTGTGTCATTTCCACCCCACCAGCCCCTCATCTGGTCACACTTGTACCTTACTCCAGTTGCCAGTGTGCCAAGCGGCACAGGGTCGCAGGTGGCAGTGGCGGGCAGGCTGGGGCCTGGCGGCGGGGGTGCAGTCCTCCTCCCGGCCAGAGCTGCATCGCACAAGCCTCCAGACAGCACCCAGGCCGCAGGTGGTGGAGCACTGGCAGGGAGAGATGGGAGGACAGGGATCTTTGAGGATTGGGGCAACTCCACTGCAGCCAGGAGACGTCCCCATCAAAGGAGGTGAGACCTTAGCCAAACCAGGGCTACAGTTTCCTTCACTGCAAAAAGGGCTGCTTCATTCACACATCTCCAGGGAACCTATGAAAAGTCAAATCCGTCCTCTCTAGCTACCTTCCCAGAGTTCATAGATGGGGTGAGGATATGACAAGGCTGTTTTCCAGAATCCCTTGGGAAGGAAATTTGCGCTCCAGTCCCAAAGCCCAATGCTGGGCAACCCTGGGCTCCCTTTTCTGTGTCTGTTCCTTCTCCCACTAAAGAGTCTGAATAGAAAGAGCTAACTCCTCATGCAGTAATCTAAGGGAGGGAAGCCTGACATGGGGCGTGTGGAGTCAATGTTTAAGTCTCCCCAGAGGCACCTATGACCTCCTCCTGAAAAATCAGTCACTCAAAACCCCCTGCAGCTCGGAACTATTCAGATGCACCTGGGGTTGCCATAAGCCAGGGCAAACTGAAGTGAAACCCCACCAGAGGAGTGGAGCCACTGAGGGGAAAGTGAGATGGAAAGGTTGTGAGCTGCTCCTGGAGAAGCCAGGCTGAGCCCCGAGGAGTCTGCTGAAGCCCCAAAGCTCTGGGAGTAGGGAGGTCCCCAGTCAGCACAGCTTCACAGGCCCTGACAGCTAAGTGGGATCCAAGGTCAGGTGAGGTGGCCTGCCTACAAACAGCTGTGTGAGTGCGGTCCCAAACTGTGACATTCAAGCCGGTGGGCGGGAAGGGTGCTTTTAACTGTTCAATGGGAAGCAGGAGCCAGCAGGCCCTTGGGATTCAGATTAAGCACTTGGAACTGTTCCTCTCGGTGCCTGTGCTCAGAATCAGGCCTCCAGGCTACTTCACAAACAAGGAGACAGACTGTCCCGGCCCACACCAACTGAGGTGGGCAAGTGAAGTCTGAAGGGGTGGACAAATGGGCCTCTAACCCTGATCATTTTTAGAGCCCAGAGAGCGTTTCCCCTTCCTCACAGGGCCTCCTCCCCCTGCTTCCTGTCGGCTCCCTAATCTCAGGAATCCTTGCACCCCCAGAGGCAGCAGGCAGGGCACGTGTCCTGCTCACTTCCATAAGGAAAGGCATGCCGTCACAACACGCAGACACCACATCACTTGCCTCACTCCAGTTCCCCACTTCCCAGCTGGCATTCTTGGCAGCTGGCACGTCTGCAGGGGTCCCCTGCTCAGTTGGGCTGGTGTCTGGAGGTTGGGCCGCAGGGGCTCTGGTGCTGGAGGAAGTGTCCAGAGCAAGTATGGACAACAGTGTGGAGTTTAGGCCCATCTCAGAGCTGGGCGTCTCAGGGGGGTTCAGCGTGGCCATTGAGGACGTCCGCTCTAGGCCAGGCAAGGCCGTTTGAAGGGAGGCCCTGGGCATCGTCGGTGTCTGTGGCTCCCCTGGGGCCAGTCCCAGAGCTGAAAGGGTGGGAGCCGCTGAATCCAGAAGGCTGCTCTGGCCCGGGGTCACTGACAGAGTGGCTATGGGAGGAGAGGGAGAAGTGGCTGCTCCCACAGTGGTGGGTCCCAGCTCACTGTCCACAGGTCCCAGGCTACCCTTCAGAGCTGGATCCCAGGCCATGGTCTCTTGTGTCCACAGCTCTACCTCACTGGGACTACGAGAGGTGTGAGTGATCTTGGTGGGGGACAAGGAGGGCAGCGTGGGGCCAGGGCTGTGGGGCAGCAGATGCTCCCCATGACCTAAGGACTCCTCATCATCGGCAGTAACTTCATGGGTCCTCTCCCACCATGAAGGGGGCAGGGGGCTCTGCCTCTCAGCCTCCTGCATGAACTTATCCTGGCTTCCAGGGGTGACAGAACCAGGGGGCCAGAGTGAGCCAGGGAGCTCAAGGTCCCCCACCCTGATGGGGGCTTTTTTCTCAGGTAAGAAATTGGACAAGGGACTCTCTGGGGCTGGGGCTTGCTCTGAGGGTGGGGGCAGAAAGTGGTCAGCCTGGCTGGGTGAGGGGATAGGAGACCAATCTCTCAGGTCACCCTTGTCCTTGGCTGCAGAAGGCTCTGTGGCAGGTATGGGAATGCCCAGGGGTGAGGGGGTGCCTGCCAGGCCTGGGCCCAGCTCCTCCAGGGTCCCATAGGACAAGTCCTCGTGGAAGTTAATGAAATTGTAGTCATAGTAGAAATCATCAACAAACACGGGCCCCATGGGGCTAGGCTCCAGGTCATCCTCGGTGATGGCATTGCCCATGCTTGTGGGCTCCAGCGTGGAGTGGGGCACTGGGTGGGGGACCGGGCGCCGGGGGATGAAGTCCACCTCGTTGAAGAGCTCCTGGCTGGAGCCACCACTGCCGGAACCTTCTGAGCCCAGCAAGCGCAGGGGCCGTGGGCAAGGCGGCAGGATGCATGTAGTCTCACTTGCTGGCCGATGGCCCTCATCGCAGGGGATACCGGTGTCATTCGTGCAGAGGACAACTCGGTGGTGAATGCCCGCCCCACATGTCACCGGGCACTGCAAGGAGAGTCCAAGATAAAGTGCTGGGACATGCTTCGTCTACTGCCAAACAGCAAAGTGGCAGAGGCCTTAGCTAGCCCTCCCTGGCCAAACCCCACTCAGGACCCTGTGACTACCAAGACATCGTGGCCCCCGAGGCTTTGGGAGCAGCGACTGGACCTTGGGATCTCCGAGTCTCCTTCTGACCAGGGAATAAAGGTTCCACTTTCTGCCTCCCTGGGGCCCAAGACAGCAATGGAGCTTGGGGGTGGACCTATCTCGGCCCCTCCCAGCTCATCACTCACTTGAGACCAGTTCCCCACAGCCCAGGTGGCCGGGCAGAGCACATCATGGTTGCAGGGGGTCTCGATGGAGGGCCGCGGGAGGTGCTCACAGGCACTCGGCTCCAGGGCGCTCTGCTCGTCCAGCCCCACACTGCGAATACACAGCACCGTCCGGCGGGAGAAGCCCCTGGGCCCACAGGAGCGGGAGCACGGCTGCCACTCTCCTGCCCACCACCTGGCAGGGGCACACAGGTGACATCAGCATGGACACAGCAGGCCCACAGGCAGGTAGGGCCCCACCAGTCTCGAAGACGGTCAGATTCTGGACAGGGTTGCGTCTAAGCCCTGCGTGAATTCCCATAGCTCCACTTACAGGGTGGTGTCCTAGTCCCAGAACCCGGCGTAGTGGCACAGTCTCCACTGACACAGAGACCTGAGTTCAAATCCCTCAAACCTTGCCCCAGGAGCCTGAGAAAGACCTGTTTCCACATCTAGGGCTCCAAAGTGGAGGATGGAAGTGTCCAGGTTGGGATGGGGGGCCAGCCAGCACCTAAGGCTTCAGTCTCAGACAGAGAGGTCAAGGGCACACCTTGTTGGACTCCTCTCTGATGGGGAGGCTACAGCAAGACCGACTGAATGCTTGGGAGCAGTGGGTGGAACTCACCGAGCCGGGCAGGGGTCCTCGCTGCACTTCCTCTGGCGGTCATCAGGTCGGTCCAGGGGATCACAGTGCTCCTCGTCCACGGGCCCCACCTGCTCCTCCATGCAGTAAACGCTCTGCCTCTGCATGCCTGGGGTGGGGGGGGCATGGGGCTTCAGGCAGGCCTGGCACTCAAGATGCCCCTGTTCAACCCATCCCAACCTGACAACTGCCCACACCCAGGGGGCTTCGGAGAACAGCGAGGTTCAGATTCTTCGTCTCAGGTTCCTGATACTGAGATCCCTAGATAGATGACCAGAGATGGGAGTCTGGGGGGCAGAAAAGGAGGGTGAGGGTTAGGACAGACTGCTAAGAAGACCCACTGCCACTGAGCCTGTGTGGACTCATCCCAGCTCTATGGGATGGAGGGGAACTGCCCCATGGGGTTTCCAAGGAAACAAATCTTTACAGAAGCAGATAGGTACATCTTCCTTCCGAAGAGTGGCTGGTGAGTTTGAACCACTGACCTGATATTTAGTAGGTGAGCACTTAACCACTGCTCTACCAGTCAGTTTGTCATCAAGTCAGCTCAGACCTGTCGGCGACCCCACATGCAGCATAATATTTTATGAACAGTTGAAAAGAAATAAGGAAATATGGTCACTGGGCCACTGGGCTTCAGAAGCTCAGGGCTAGGTGTCCTTGTCACATCCTCTCTGCCCCTGCTGCCTCAGGGCAGGAACGCAGGACAACAGGCTCTGTGCCTTCCAGGATGGACTCCTCAGGTTAGAGGACAGAAGGAGGATACAGATCACCCAAAGGAGCAGAGACACAGGTCCTAGCCCTGCCAGAGCTGAGCAATGAGAAGACAAGGGAGAGAGGGCTGGTGCCTCTCTAGTAGGATGCGGCTAACAGCTGAGACATTATCACCCACCAGTGCTTTCTCGGCCTCATCTTATTTAACATGTTGCTGCAAATGACGGCTATATGTATTTCTAAGCATGGTCGTCAATTTAAAAGTGTGCGGCAATGTGTTAACCTCCTGAGACCCTATCGCCACCCCAATTTACAGATGGGAAAATTAAGTCTCAGAGAAGCAAAGTTCCAAGGTGGTAAGGCAAATAGGAAGGTGGAGGCTGAAGCCTGCTATCCCTGCCCCCAACTCTGCCCCTTTTTCACCTGTGCCACAGGTGACAGTGCACTTGGTCCAGGGTGCGAAGTGCCAGGAGAACTCCGGCAGCTGGTTCTCGCCATGGCTGTCTGCCTCCCTGTGGATGGTGTACTCATAGCGTACCCCAGGATTGTTCTCTTGGAAAAGCAGCTGTGGAAGGGAGTGGGGCCCCGTGCACACAACATGTCATCTCCATCTGCCCAGGACCTGCTACCCAGAGTAACCACACCCACTCTGACCTGGGGCTATCCCAGGGGAATATATTAAAGATGAGCAAACTGAGGCAGGGCTGTAGCAGTTGAGCCGCTCCTGGACCAGACTCTGGGACTGTGCCTGGAGTTTCGTGCTCCTACAGAGACAGGGATCCCAAGTCTGCTTCCCCTCCCCCAGGCTGCAGGAGGCAGGCACCTGGATCCACACTGGCTCAGCAGTGGGGCCGGGCGCTGTGAGGTTCTCCCAGTTGCCGGTGCGTGAGTAGGTGAAGGTTGTGCCTGCCACGTGGTAGTTCCCGGCCCACTGGATGGCCCAGCCACCGTTGAGGAAGTACTTCTCCGGGTCTTCGCCCCGCAGAGCCAGGAAGTTGGCAGCCTCTGCCAGCTCCTCGATGCGGATCTCACGTGCCCCAGCTGGAATCAGCCCCACGTCCACGTACCCTGTGGTGAGGAGGATGTGCAGAGATCTCGGTAAGTAAGCTGTGCCCGACTGCCTGCCTACACCTCTCTTTCCATTTGGCCCTGCTCACACCTAAGATCTCACCATCAGCTTCAGACGCTCAGCTCTCCCGAAAGGCAGATGCTAAGAGCTGTATAAGTCACCAAAACCTCGGAAAAACTCCTCAAATCCTGCCCCATGCTCCAGCAATCACCGACTGGAGGGCTGAGCTGATTCCTCCCCTTCTCTGTCATACCTGGGGCCTGCCAGACCTCCCTACAAGAACAAATGGACTGGGACTTTAGTGGGACGTCCTCCCCATCCACACAGCCCTTTTTTAATTCTTTCACATAGCACTCACATCGGGGCCTGGCCCTACTCTAAACGTTACCTGTAACTAAAGTGTAACAACCCTAGAAGGTAGATACTACTGTTACCTCGACTGTACAGTGAAGAAACTGAGGAACATTTGCCCTGGAGTCCTGCTGGGATGTGAACCAAGCCTGAGAGGCCTGAGTTCTAACCACACCATACAGCATCTCCAGCATCTAAATTAACAAGCCTCTGGAAACTCTATGAACTTTGATAAATGTCAGTACTTGTAGAGGGGCTTCAAGCCTTTTGTTCATCGGGTCGCTATGAGTCGTGCTCGACTTGAAGGCACTCAACAACAACAGCATCTCCAGGATAAAATCTATGCTTTCTGGCCTGGCATTCAAGGCCCCCAGAGCCACTCTACCATCCTTATAAGTCCCCTAGCACACTCTTGCACCTAGGCATTGGCACAGCTGTCTTCTCCCTGTGGAATGCTCCTCCTGCTCGTCTCTGAGTCGTTTATGATTCAGCTCAGCATCTGCCTCTTCCAGGAAGTCTTCCCAGTCTTCCTCCATGCTCCCCCAGCCCCTTGGGTCTCTCTTCACTGTATCTGCCACTATGGAGTCACTGTACTGTCACTGTGCCAGACTATAAGCTCTACATCTTTAGGTCCCCATTACCGACCACAAAATATATCTCCCAAAAGCAAAGGAGCAGAGCTGAGGAGGGGAGGTGTTGAAGCATTCTAAGAAGATGGTATCCTGGCAAAGGGGTCAGAGACCATCCTTCCTGGCCCAGCTGAGGTTCCCGGGGTAAGCAGGCTCCCATGAGGACAAGTCTTGGCACCTAGCAGGTGAAGGGATCCCTCATTCCTGCAGGGGCCTGGACCAGGCAAGGCTTTCCTGCTTCCTCTCTCTGACCTAGCTGGGGATCACAGTGCTGACTGAAGGGACTCTGGGGGCCACCAACGTCCGGAGCAGCCCCACTTGCCAGCTGTGGCAGCCCATACCCAGGCCGCTGGCTTCATCAAAGGTCTGGCTCACAGTGTGACAGGTGGAGCCATTCCCATGGCACACACCGCAGCGGTCCTCCTCGGCTCCCGAGTCAATCTCGAAGTCACAGCCGACGTTCTGTAACACATGGGAGGGAGGCACTGGTGCTGGGTCCAGGGACTTGGGCAGGATCCCTTCCCTCTGCACCCTGACCCACCACAGCTGCACTTCTGACTCTAGGAAACCCTTTCTCTGACCCGATTTCCTCAGATGTGAAATGGGATCAATCTGCACCTCGAAGGCGAGTGGTAAGGAATCATAGAGAACATTACAGACTCCTGACCAGTGAGGTCACGGCTTTTCTAGAAGCCACTGTCAAAGGCACCTGGGGCTAGCACCTTCCCCGCTGGTCCTCCGCTGAACCCAGTCCTCCAAGCCCCCAGCAGCTTCACTGCTTATAAACCAAACATCAAATGGGTTGTCCTCAAGTGGATTCTGACTCACAGCCACGCTGCAGGGAGGTGTGGAACCGCCCCACGGGGTCCCTAAGGCTGTGATCGTGAAAGGAGACGGCCACATCTTTCTCCTCAGAACAGCTGGTAGGTTTGAATGGCTGACCTTTAGATTAGCAGCCACTTAACCACTGTGCCACCAGGGCTCCTTTCACTACTGTTATCAGAACAGCAAGAACCCCACCACAACCAGTGCTTCCTCTGCACCAGGCTCTGAGCTGGGACGTTGGCCAGACCACCGCCATTCACCGCGGGAGGTGGGCCAGTGATGATTGCTTTTTTAACAAAGAGGACATTACTGCCTGGGGTCACCCAGCCAGTGGGGGCTCGGGTTTCCTGGCTGTGCAGGCCTATGGGGAGAAGTCACGGCAGCCAGCATGGGATGGTGGGTGCAGGCACAGGAGCTGAGGGGTTTCAAGAACCAGGGCACTGTTGGAGGCTTTGCTCTGGAAGTGACAGGGGCCATTAAAAGGCTTTACCGGTACTAGGAACTCAATGGCACAGCCGAGAGGAGCTGGTGCTGCCAGAGTGTGGGGGCAGGCAGGGCTGGAGACCCCTCCTCCCCTCCGGACGCACCTTGCAGATGCCGTTGATGCAGAGGTCCCGGCTGGCCTGGCCCTGGTAGCAGGGGGTGCCGTCAATCACGGCGTCCCGCAATTTCTCCGAAAAGTGCTCTTTCAAGGGCTGGCAGTGCAGCTCGCAAGGGTTCTCTGAGGGCCGAAGTGGAGGAGGCATGAGGAACTGCCAGGACAGACATCACAGAGGCTGCCAGCAAAACCCCACCACGACGCATTGGCAGCAGGCAAGGCTCCCAGACCATGCACGGATGCCAGAGGCTCCTCCTGGGCAAGGCTCTAGGCTGGGGAGTGCTGTGGGAGACAGCCCAGGGCTAGGGCTGAGACAAGGGCTCCCTGCCTGGATCCTTGGGCCCACTAACACCCACCTCTCTGGACCTCAGTCTCCCCACAGGCAGCTGGACTCACCAACATGGACCACAGGCACCCAAGTGTGCAGGTGGCCTTTGTACAGCATAGCATCAAAGTGGCTGCACTGGACATGGCGGAAGGAGGGGCGGTCGCGTGGACAGGCCTCCACGTTGCACAAGCGGTAACGCTTACGCTCACCCACACAGTATTTACCCTTGTACTTGGGCCTGTGGGGAGAAGCAGGTCAGGGCTGAGTGCACAGAGCATGCCTACTGTCTACCCAGATCCAGGAGTGGCCCTCCGAGTGTTCTCACAGCTTCCACTTGCACCCCTGACATCCCGAGAATCTTGCTGTCTGCTACTGTTCACACTATTCTCCCATCTTGAGTTCAAACACCTCCCTGCTCAAAAGCAGGAAGCCTGGGCTCTCTTCTCAACCTGCTGTGTGACCTTGAGTAAGGCCTCAGCCCTCTCTGGCCTTCTGTTCCTACATCTATAAAGCCGCTGCACTGGGCTGTGGAGAACTGGAATGTGCTGTGGATGTGGTCAGCACTTTGTGCAGGGGGTTCTCCAGTCCACGAAACCCAGCATCCTGACAAGCTTATGTGTTAGCAGACTTTTGACAGCAGTACCTCAGCCCACCTCAAGAAACCGCATCCATTGGGAAAAACCCAAATGTCCATCAACAAACACACGGATAGAGAAACTGTGGTATAGTCACACAATAGAATACTATCAGCGCTGAAAAAGAAAGAACTCCTTAAATATTCTACAAAATGGGTAACCCTGAAGGACATTATGCTGAGTGAAATATCTCAGTCACAAAAGGATAAATACTACATTAATGCCTGTTATAAAACAGGACTGACATCGGAGTTGGGGAGAACAAAGAAAAGAGGGGACAAATAATGTACACTACATTGTAACAGATAAGGGAAAGAACTGTTTAAAAGGAATATATGATTACTGCTTAAAATGATATATGATAACTGCTTAAAAGGAATATATGATTAGGTATTATTTGCATGACAACAGTCCAGAAAAAGAGCTGCATAGTAAAGTGGATTGTGTTGAGGATGGAGGGGTGGGGAATTGTACAACAATGAAAAGAATTTTTTTTCAAAGAGAAAATTGTACTAGGGGTGGTTGGGCAGGGCGGAAAATGTACAAATGAATGAATGTCCTCTATAAACTTGCATTAAAATCTCAATTTAAAAAAACCAGTAAAACAAAAGAAACCTCATCCATGTCTAAACCAGTTTCATGCTCCCTACCTCAGCTCAGATCTATGAGCCAGGAGGTAAGAGGGATACAGGCTTAAGTCTACCAGAAACAGCTCTAGGAGGGGCTAGCTCTGAATCCATGCTCACATAGGGGAATCCCAGTCAAGAGGGGCTCATCGAAGCCCCAGTCCATGGTACTGTCAGCCTCTACACACGAGACGGGGGACCTGAGGCCCAGAGAGGTACAGCCACTCCCCCTGGGTCACACAGCCCTCCCTTCAGTGCTGCCCAATCGCCCAACTGCCCCTTAATCTCATCTCAGATTCAGGTCACTCCTCTGATGCTGCTCAACAGCAACTATGCTTTAGAAAAATATCTTTGTTTAAATTTAGTGTAAATATTTTTTTATTAGATACAACTATTTATGCTCAGTTTAGCTTTACTCCTCTCTTTGAGTAAGGTTCATGCTCAAAAAAAATTACACTGGCTCTAAAAAAGACATTTACATTGTGTCAGAAGTTGTCATATTCAAATGTATCGCTTCTATTACAAAAGTAGACATAACACTAATTTGCCAATTCAATGTTTTCCACAAGCACATTGAGTGAACCAATTATATTCATCTCACTGTGCAGCCATCACCATCTGCTGCCAGATTTTCCACCATTATAAACAGAAACCCACCGTTTCCTAAACAATGACTCTTCTTTTCCCCTCCCTCTGCCACTGTAACCACTAGTAAAATGTTGTTCTTTATACATTTAAGCAGGAAGCTCTGGTGGCCTAGTAGGTAAGGAGGTACACTACCAATCCAAAGGCACGAGGTTTGAATCCACCAGCTTTTCCTTGGGAGAAATATGGGCAATCTCCTCCCATGTAATTCACAGACTCAGAGAATCCACTGGAGGGTCAGCTACGGGTCAGTTCTGATTGAATGGTGACAATAACATACATTTAAGTAGCAGCTTGGCCCTGTGGCTAGGACAAATGCCATGATGGATTTCTCCATGGCAATAATTCTGTTAGGTGGGCTCTGCACTGCTCCATCATCCAGGCGAGGGAATGGAGGCTCAGAGAACGCCCTTGTCCCAGAGGGAAGAAGGGATCTGAACTGTGATTGTCTAAGGTCCAGGGTCTATGCTGGTAACTCCTGCTCAGTCCTGTCACCCTCCAGCCAGTTGCTGCTTTGCTGCATGGCCTCTGTTGAGTCCTCTAGTCTCTGTGCTTAGTGTCTCCTCTCTGAAATGGAGTCAGCAGTGGACACACTCAAAGTGGCTCAGGGACACCCATGCCTGGCCTCCTAGAGGGCACCTCTGAGAGCAGGGACTGGAGCAAGGTTAAGCTCCCCAGTCATCTGATTAGGGAACTCTGGAGTTGTAGCTGTAGGGCACTGCACTGCTACCCAAAGGTTGAGCCTCTCTGTCGTTCAGAGAATACACCATTCAAATGGACCATCTCCTACTGGGCAATTTACAGCCTCTGAAAACCTGCTGGAGGGTCATCTATGAGTCAGGAGTTAGTGAAATATCCCTGGACCCCTTCTTGCCATAGTCCTCCTGGGCCTGTACTTACAACGGCTGTGTGCACTGTCGTTCAGAGCTTTGCACACCTATGCCACAACTCCGTGAACAGACGGACCAGGAGCTCCAGCCGGACCAGCCACCATCCACAGCCTCAGGCTGGAGGCCCACAGGAACACACTCCCCACTGAGACACCACTATAGAGACAGAGGGAGGTGGAGCAGGTACTGCACACCTGGCAGCCTGCCCCTGCCTGGCAGCCAACCTCACCCTAGTCAGAACAAGGCAGTAGGGCAAGCCTGGAGAGGGAAGATCAAAGGGATCAGGGCCCCCTTCACAGTCACCTAAGACACGCGTTTCAGCGTGGAGCTGAGCAGGATCCACCTGCTGCCTCTCTCGGGAACTTGGGACAGAGTGGGTTGCAATGCTAAGAGTACAGGCCAGTCTGTGAGCACTGGTACAGGGCCAAGTCCGACCTCTCACCCCTCCCCCAAGCATAGCTGGCGCTGTGGACATCGCCTACCTTGCTCTCCCCACACTTGGTGCCATCCACGGCTGCATCCAGCTTGGAGTGACAGGTGATGCCCACGGAGCACCAGAGAGTGTGGCAGACATTCTGTGAGGAGGAGGGCACGGCCAGACCCTCACCCCCTCCCCTTCTTCACTCTCACTGCTCCTGGGGCCCCTGGGCATCCTTTTATGGGTCTAGCACATGGCAAGGGGATGGGGCGTCTGCAAACACAAAGACTCACAGAGGCCCCTCTTCTGTTTCTGCTCCTGTCCCCACCCTTTCTGACTGGGTGGTGGTATAGGGAGCTCTGGGCACTGCTCAGAGCAGTGACCTCCAGCTGAGCCACAAGCTCTCAAGCCCATTTGTCAAGATGGATGTCCCTGCCCATGCCCCACTGGGGAGACTGACACGAGTGCCCCAATGGGGAGGCTGATTTCTCCCCTTTTATAAAGCAGCTCTGGGAAAGTGGAGACACTTGCCCAGAGCCCCACAGATGGCAAACAGCTAATTTGTGTCTACAACTATCCCATCTGAGGTTTCTCCCACAGGCCACTCTGTGTCTCCTGGTGTCTAAGGAGGCCAAGCCCAGGGCTGGGTGGGGTCCTTCCAAGGCTCGTGAGGAGTCTCTCCCGAGTGCTCCTCCTGCTGGGCTCACATATCTGCCACACCCCAATCCCATGTCCACAGGAGCCGGTACTCACGTCCATGTCTTCGCAGAAGGTAGAGTAGGACCCGTACTGTAGGCGGCACTGGTGGCTTGCATCATAGAGGACCCCGGGCGGCAACAAGGGAGAGTCTAGGATGTCCTTGGTGGGAGGGTCATCCAGACACAGGCCCCAGCCCCGGCTGCAGAAATGACACAGGGAGACAGGGTGAGAGAGCGCTTGAGGCCTATTAGGGAGGTCAAGGTGAGGCCAGCAGAGCAGGCAAGCTTGTTGTTGTTGTTGTTGTTATATGCCATCAAGCAGGTAAGCTAGGAATAGAACACCAATATCCATCTCCAGCCTAGAATCCAACAGCAACCCCTGGGTCGCTCCCACATGGTTCTCCAGGACTACAACTCACCCCACACCCCCACAGCCAGGCCCATACGCAATGTCTCTCCACCCACCGGGCTGGCTTCAAGCACTGGTGGCCTAGTGGTAAGAAGCTGAACTGCAATCTCAAAGGCATGTAGCTCAAATCCACAAACAACTCTGTGAAAGAAGACTGGACAGTATCCTCCCATGTCATTAATTGCCTCTGAAAACCCACTGGAGTGGAGGGTTAGCTGTAAGTCAGTTCCAACTTGACAACATAAAACAACATAGGGCTGGCTTTGCTTCTATAACTCTACCTGCTGGAGGCCTCCGTCCTCAAGATCCAGACCAAAAGCCTTTGCCCAGAACCCCCCTGGACTGCCAAGACCTTAAATGGCTCCAGCACTGAGTTCCTGCAGCTTCCCCTACAACCCGGGTCCTAGAGCCGGGCCATCTCAGACAGGGTTCTGTACAGCATCACAGTGCAGTTGATAAACAGAGGGCCTGGCATGGACCCATCCTGGGCTGAGACCTAGAAGGACTGGAACCTGACAGCAGCCTCCCACCTGGCATGGTCTGGGGGATCACAGACATGAGCCAGCCACTACCAATCCCTGCTGACACCCAGCTTGAACATAAGGCTGTTTGGACACTGAACCAGGCAGGGACAAGGAAGAACCTGGCAAGGGCATCCCATGCCCAGCTGGGCAGCGTCTGCCAACAGCTCACTTTGTGACCATCATGTGCCTGGGCATTGCTTCTGGGGCCAGGAGCTCTCGTGCCCTAGTTCATCCCAGGCAAGCTCTGGTGCAGGTCTAGTTCAGAGCTCAAGGGCAGGGGCCCGCTGATCAGCCTGCTCCAGGGCTCAGTGCTTGATTCCAGAGGTTTAATGCAGCAACATCAAGGCTAGGAGAATTGTGACAAGCAAAGAAACCAGTGTGGGGAAGGGGCAGGGTCCTCTCAGGCAGCAAGAGCCTGGATAAAGGCAGGGGAAGGAGACAGGATCTATGGGGCATGGACCCTGCCAGTCTGAGAATGTGGAGGAAGCTCGGGTCCTGGAAGCTGGGGAGACCACTATTTTAAGGGACTGGAAGAACAGTGGGAATAAGGCTCTGGAGCTGGACCTGGAGCTGAAGGAAGGTCTGTGGGTCCCCTGACCAGAGAGGTGCCTGAGGTTACGGGGATCCAGGGAAGGCTCAGTTTGGAGCTCAGCACCAGGAAAACAGCAAAAGGGCAGCCAACACAGTGGTTCACTGGTCATGAAAGAGCAAGGCGCTCCGCCTGAGGCCCGGAGCCCTGACCACACCCTGCTGCTCTGAACCACTTACTCTTTGTCCTGCCTTGCCCTGCCTGACCACCCTGAGTCTTCCTCTTCCCGCACCCAGTACCCAGGCCCTCGCTGTGGACTCCAAACATCCATGTCTTGGACAGATAAGGCTGGATAAAGTGGATTCAGGGTGGTTAAGAGGCGGTACAGTGGAGCTAAGGCCCCAGAGTTAAGGAGATCTCACTCTCAGGTTATGTGAATGTAGGTCTCCCCCAGGTCACAGGGACTGAGAAAGGTGAAGAAAAGACAAGAACCCCAAGGACATTGCATGTGGCCTATGGACAATAGGTGAGCCCTGCTCTCTGTCTTTGAGACTGAGGCCTGAATGCCGGAGAAGTGAACAAGGACGGGGGGGTCGGGGGGGGGGAAGGATAGCAGAGGGCCTAGAAGGGAACCACACCTGTCCTGTGCCCAGCACACTCACCCCTGCCTGACTGAGAAGCACGGGGCCAGGGGTGCTGCATGGAGAGCAGGGCCCTCAGAGGTACAGCCACACCTCTTCCTTGTGGGGAGGGAACCCGAGCCTCCCAAAGAGGTCCACACCAGTGACTGACTGGGAAAACAATATGCTTTGTAAACTTTCACATAAATGGCATAAACTGAAAAATGAGATCCTTGGCACAATTAAAAACAAAATCAAACCAAGAGATTGCTCATCAGACAAAGCAGGTTATTTCCCTCGAAAATGAAAAACAAAACAAAAGAAAGCTCAGTTGCTCTGATTGCAACTGGGGAGGCGACAAGAGCCTCAGGATGTGACCCCTCAAAAGATGAGTGCACAGCGAAAGAAAGTGATATGTGTCAATCTGTGGGGAGTCGAGATAGGGGCTTCAACCACTCAGCCTGCCTTCACCTCAAATTAGCCCTCCTGCACCCCACAGGTCTGGCACAGCCTCAGTCCCCTTCAAGGACCTGAGGCAGGAGGCCCAGCTACTTGCTCTGTGCTTGGGCTCTGCACTCTCAATCTCATCTGTGCACCCCCGAGCCCCATACTGACTTGGATCCCCCCCACCCCCCACCTCCCGACTGCCTCTAGGAGCTCTGAGTTCTAAGTCCTTCCTCATGCCTGCCTTCAGGGTCACCATCCCTGCTTCTCGACCTTCCAGACTCCTGGTTTTTCCACTTCCTCTGGCGCCTCCTTCTTCCCCACCTGCTAGGCGGCCCCAGGACCTTCTCTCATGCACCCTCAGCTCCTGCACAGCAAGAAGAAAGCCCTGGGTTCTCCTGACTCAGGACAGGGTCTTCCTGACTCAACTTCCTGTCTAGGGGTTCTCGGCTCTGGGCTGACTCATCTGAGGGGCTGCACTGCATCTGCAGGGTGTATTTAGAACAGTAATACTTGCTGGCTGCTCTCCATTGTTGTTATCAGGTGCTGTCCAGTTGGCTCGGAACAACCCCGAAGTCAACAGAAGGCAGCACGGCCCAATCCCGCACGACCTGCACAACCACTGCTGTGCTGGTGCCCATCCTTACGGTCACTGTGTCCACCCGCCCCTTGAGGGTCCTCCTCTTTTCTGCTGACCTTCTGCTTTACCAAGCATGCTGTCCTTCAAAGACTGCCCCTTCCTTATAACATGCCCAAAGCTTGTGAGAGGAAGTCTCACTATCCTTGTCCCCGAAAAGTTTGTTCTGTCTACATATTTTCCTAAGATAAATTTATGTGTCCTTTTGGCAGTCCACACTATAGTTAATATTCTTCACAAATACCACAATTCAAAGGGGACTGATTCTTCCCTATGGCCTATTTTTTTTAGGTGCATATGAAGCAACTGAAAATATTATGGCTTGGGTTAGGTGCACCTTAGTCCTCAAAGTAGCATCCTTGCTCTGATACTCATCCCCACCTCAAAAGCGGTTTTTCGTTTACAAATGAGGAAACAAGTTCTAAACAACTTGGGTGGCTTCCTGAGAGCACAGCCCATCGGCACATGCAGCTGCCCAGTCCGTGTTCTCTCCCTGTTGCTGTGCTACAAGAGTTCAGTGTACAGGCAGCTCTCCTCTCCCCAAAGCCTTGACAGGGCCAGAAAATTCTTAGCAGAGCTGTCATTCATTATACAATAATAACCAAAAACACAAAGCCTACTGACACCAAGTCAATTCAAATTCACGGCAGGCCTTGGGTTACAGAGTGAACACGTGTGCTCCATATGGTTTTCTGGGTGTAATCTTTATAGACATGGCTAACCAGACCTCACTGAGCTGGGCTCAAAACACCAATCTTTTCGAGGGCAAACTGTGCCACACATGGGCTTATTACTCAACAATAAATATCTTTTATTTAGCATTTGAACTGTGGTGCCAAAGAGCACTGGATATCCCATGAACTGCCAGAAGAGAACAAGTCTGTCTTGAAGAAAGTGCAACCAGGGTGCTCCTTAGAGGCGAGATGGTGAGACTGTTTGACATACTTTGGGCATGTTGTCAGAAGGTGCCAGTCCTTGGAAAAACACATCGTGCTGGGAAAGGTGGAGGGCCAGCAAAGGGGAGGAAGACTCTCAACAAGATAAATTGACACAAGGACTATAACAAGGGGCTGGAGCTTATCAGAGACGGTGAGGATGGCATGGGGAAGGGCAAAGTTTTGATCTGTGGTTCACAGGATTGCTAGGAGTGATAGGCCACTTAACTGTGCCTACTATAACACAGGCCCTTTCTAGTAAGTGCTTTATGAATACCAGCTCACTGATTCCTTTCAATAAGCCTGTGAAGTAGAGACTACTATCGTCATTTTAAAAAAATTTTATTTTATTAATTTTAATGAATATTTACAGAGATTTTTTTTATTTCCATTCATTCATTCATTGTTGCACTTTTCTCCCTGCTCAGCACCCCACCCCCACCCCAGTTCGCTCCTTTCTTTGAAAAGCAAAAGAAAAATTCTTTCACTGGTATACAATCCCCCAGCACCCCTCCCACCACCCCAAATACACGCCACTATGCAACCTTAATTCTGGACTCTTGTGATAACCATAATACCATATCATATATCACTTTTAAATTGTTCTCTCCCTCATCTGTTTCAATGCAGTATACATAATTTATCCAGCTCTTCTCAGTCTTACCCCAACCCTGATGTGAGTCCCATTCTACAAGTGGCACCATGCAGTATTTGTCCTTTTGTGACTGTGATATTTCACTCAGCATAATGTCCTCCAGGGTCACCCATTTTGAATAATATTTCATGAGTTCCTTGTTTTTCAATGCAGTGTAGTATTCCATTGTGTGAATATACCACAACTTCTCTATCCATTCATTTGTTGATGGGCACCTGGGTTGTTTCCAACTCCTTGCTATTGTGAACAAAGCTGCAATAAACATGGGAGTGCATATATCTGCTTGGGTGTGCATATATCTGCTTGGATGACGGTACTATCGTCATTTTACATTACTCAGGCTCAAAAGAACCAAATAACTTGTCCAAGGACCCACAGCCAGGAGGGACAGAGCCATTTCACATGTGAATCTGGTAGATTCCTCCAGAATCACCAGAGGCTGCCTTT